ATGTCATTAGCTTGAGATCAATTTGCAGAGAAACACACACACACACACACAGACATTTGGAGGCATTTCATCGATTTCATAAATTCTGACAGCTGCATCAACAAATCATTCCTCTTTTATTTACGTGGATTCCTGAATAAATCATGAATATTTCTTTAATAGTTTGAAAAAGACAGGGCTGTGAATACACAGAAGAAGCCTGAAACACAAAGTACAAGCTCAATATTGGAATAACGTGACATGCGATATGGGATTTCAATACAGAGTATTAGCATGCTAACTCAGTAGCATAACTATTCTCTTTTTAGCAGTAATGCCATATGGATTGGTGTTGAATAGTTGGTAGCAATTTCAAAACATATATATTAATCAATTATTGTTATAAAATAATGAGTAGGTTATATGTGAGTGTAAATTGTCAGGTTCACTGTATTCTCTTAAATTCAGCTGCCTGGGTTAAGTCAGTGCCCCCTGCCCACCATGGGAGCTAGAGCCTTCAGTCGCGCTGCTCCAAAGCTTTGGAACAATCTACCTCCGGACCTCCAAAACTGCACATCTCTCTCCACTTTCAAGTCCCGTCTAAAAACACACCTGTTCAGGATTGCCTACAAGACATAGCTCTTCCATTCCCTATGTTTTTATGATTTTATGTCCTGTTTTTTATATAATATCTCGCTTACGAATTTTTACATTGTATTTTCTTATTGTCTGGACAGTGTCCTTGGGTGGCATGAAAGGCACTTTTAAATAAAATGCATTATTATTATTATAAAAGCCAAAGCTAACTTTCAAAAGTGCTATTGCTACAAGATGTTCCTCATATTATTTATACTATTTACAGTCTACACTAATTGATTACACAAATTAAAAGGTCAGGCCAGAAACCTCTTAATATGTTAAATAAACGTGATTCATTGGCAGCGGTCACAGTAGTTGAAAAGCAAAACTGGCTAAAAGGGAGCAGTACATTATTCAAGCGCTTCAGCGCTGCCACTTCAATACACTATGAACGCTTTGAATAATTCAGGTACAAAAGCTCCGATATTCTGTGAAATCCTTTAGCATGTGTGATTGTTTTTATGTGAAAAAGATCTGAAAGTGCAGCCTGTGTTAAAAATTCATGTCAAGTTTCTGGTGGAGAGTGTTTTTGAGCTTCCTTCTGCCCCTGATGCCTGGAGGAGGTTACAGACTGGCACAGCAAGCTGCTATTAAAAAAAAAAAAAAAGTCAGCATGTCACTATAATAAGCGGACTAAGAAACAAATGTAATTATAAAACCTTTAATCATCGTGACTAATCTGTAATAACCAGTGTGACTAAAATGCACTGAATGCTCACTGCTGCGTCCTCTTTTCCCCATCACTATACAAATGTCACTCCACTCATCTTTACAATTGCATCTTCAAAAACCACATCGACCTATTTACTCATACAGCGTAGTGAATTATTCATGTGGGGAAAGAGGGAACACCTGAGTATGCCTAAAATCCCAACAGATTATTTCTGATGGTTCGCTTTATCCACTTCCTGAACTGTTCCATCTTTTCCTTCCTTGTAGCTATAATATGGACCGAATGCGACCCGAGTCATAAAATACATAGTTTACAACACAGGATGACGCAAATGCCTTTGACATATCTGTTTGAAAAGCCATCACATGAGTGAGTATGTGTGGAACAACCTGAAGAAGGTGACTTCTAATGAGGTCTTCTCTGGATGCGATGTTTAACAGCTCTCAAGGAGGTGAGTCACATGCACCTGGCCTGACGCACATTTGCTTATGTCACCCTGGGCAGTTAGGAACACTCCCTAAGGATGACGACAATATTTTCCAGGTTCAGGTTGTAAAAAAAGAGCAAATAAAATAGTTACTTCAAATCAGAGCCAACAATAAACCAACAACAATAACAAACAGTGAAATGTGCTGGTCGCTTTAGTTTTTTTTTTTTTTTTTAGGGTGGGGGTGGGGGAGGTTAGCTTTACAAAAACCGAGGCCATGAACATTAGAGCTCGTCGCCCCCCAAATCCCCGTTCTTGGGTGTGTTCAGAAAAACCCTCTGAGGTGCACTGCTTCACTCAGAACATTCGGAGTCTCCCAACATTGTTCAAATGTGTTGTTCGGTTATTATGAGAACCCCAAAAGACAGTCAGACAATACAAGGAAAGTAAACAGGTGAAGCACAAGCAGTTCATTATAGGCTGCGTTCATAAATTCGGCACCAGCACGAGGACAACAAAATGTCTGCTAAATAACTATGTAAAACTTTTTCTTTATAGTTTAAAATGACTTACTTTAACAAGAATCCCACGTCGCATTGCAGCTAAAGGTACAATTCTGGTGAGTTCATGCAGCTTTTGACGCTATAAATCCTTGTTGGAGAAATGTATGCCGGTTGCCTTGACTATCGTTCTTCTGTGTGTGTGTGTGTGTGTGTGTGTGTGTGTGTGTGTGTGTGTGTGTGTGTGTGTGTGTGTGTGATGGGGTGTTCATATTGGCTTAATAGCGGCGTTAAAAAAGGAGTCAACCCTCTCCTTGGCAGAAATTCGCCTATTGTGGGGCTCGGAGAACGTATAATTCGTGAAAAGTGAGGAGACGCTATGCTGTAAATAGGTTCTTTATACAGGAATATCTCTATGTTCCGACTTTCATAGAAACTCAGGTCACGTCTGTGTCGTACCTATGGAACTTCCAAAATGATAAATGAAATATTTTTGGACAGTCACTTTCATCTAAATCTGCACAAAGTGCAATGTTTGCACTTGGCCCTTGTCACACTACTTCCACAAATAATTTGGTTGTTTTGCCCAACCCTGCACTCAAGCGACAGCCTGCCTTTGGATTTTTACCGCCACTGACAAATGATGTCATTAACGGCATACAATTGAAGCTAAGTCCGGAAAATCCATGACGACAGACCTAAACACGAGTCGTAATGTTTGTAGAAGTGATTCTCTGGATGGATTCTATTTCATCCGGAACAGCTGCAAGGCGGAAAATCATTTGTGCCAAATAAAAAGTAAACGGCACTGGCAGAATGCTAAGAGGCACAAGTGCCTAAGCATTAAAGAAGGAAGCTGTGCGTTGGCACGGTCCCCAGTGGATAAATCACTTGAATTGGAAAACTTGAAGGAAATGAAACACGATGTCTACAAATCCATCACTCAGAATACACTGCTTGTGCCAACGAGTACAGTTCAAGCTCCTTTGAGCATGGACGGTGAACTCAACAGATGATCATGTCGGCATCGACGCTGCTATTGTTGAACTGCATAATGAAAAAATACTTTTTTTTTTAAATAATCCCCATTGCACTGAACAGATGTGTGTATCGTGTTCCTACCTCACAATAAGTTCCATTTCCTGTTCTATGGTGTTCATAACGCAACCTCCATTACTCGTCATAAAAAGGCACAAAAGCAAAACACCTGCGGAGTTATTTCTTTGGAGGCTCGGTGTGTTATGAATATGGTACCGCCTCAGGCCGTCCTTCCACAGCCGCAAACATGGAATATTAGTTATATTAGTTGCTCTTCAACAAGGCACCGAACCCCTAAGTTGTTTGAAGAGTGACAGACCTCGCATTCATCTCACCATTTCAATATCTCAGCCATGATGCAAGGTGAGGATTGTCATTTATGTGTACATCGGGTGTGTGTTAATTCAATTCTCTGTGTGTTATAGAAGAGTGTACTGTATTGACTGTCTTCTTCATAAAAACTGCATCTAATGCAAAAATCCGTGATCCTGAACAGGATAAGTGATAAGTATGCAAAATACAAGGATGGATACACTGTACTGACGATAAAGATCTGTCGCCGTTCAAAACCAACTGGGAAATGTTACCAAATAGCCCTGCATCAGATGAGTGGTAAAGAAAAAGGATATGGGCAGAAGCTGCAGATATGGTGAATGGAAGAGGCATTAAAAAAAAAAAAAAAAAAAAACACACACACACAATAAGAATGGTGACCGTCCCAGCCTGCAACTCATTGAGAACACATTTTCCTCAACTTTTCCATCTCCAAACCCAAACTCTAAATTTGGTTCTCACTGAAGGGATTTTCATTGACAGTCTGGGCGTTCATACTGCTGTATTGCAGTTTTTCAGATAGTCACAAAATACTTGCTTTTGTCTAAGTGCTGCCGTTTATTGTCGTAGCTGATTCGGGCGAAGGGTTGGAATACGTGAATAACCAATAAGGTTGTGAACCACTAGTTACTGCGCTGCCACCGAGTTAATAGAAATGCGACAGAATTAACTTCTGAACTTCTCTTTCTTGGCAAACCAATCGCGGCCTGTCAGAGGGCCAGTGAAGAGTGTTAATGATGGATGAAACCAAAATTGGCACCAGCACATATTTGACTTCAGCAGCCACTAATCTTCTCCACCGGATTTGATTGCTTTGGAGCAAATAACTTAAAACTCGGTCAGTAAATTGAGGAGGAGCTGGGAGCCAACCTCCAATCCCGTACACAGTGTTGCTGCATCTAAATTTGAAATGCACATTTTGCAAATCCAGCCAGACACATTATTTTTCTTTTACCTCTCCCAATATATAAATCAATTTTCGTTGGCACAAATCCTCACGGGGGATCTGGGGCCCATCCCACCTGACACCTGACACTGTCAGCAATAATGCACACCCACACATTCGCGCCTATGGACAATTTACAGTCTTGAATGAACCCAACCGCATGAACACAAGCACGAACGTGCCAACCCCACACGGAAAGGCTCGACCTCATAACTGTGAGGCAGATGTACAAACCACTAGTCCACCTTGCCCGCCTCTCCCATTGTAAATGTCTAAGTAATCAGTCTAGCAGGCATCCATCAAGGCTGGGTTTTCAATCATGAGCTCAGAAGGAAAAACAGCCCCGCATCATTATAGCTGACAAGCACTCAGGCGTCCGTCTACAATTCCCATCAATGAGCAGCACACATTCCCAGTAAGCAACACAGAGTGAGCCTCCAGGACGCAGCGCCTGGCGAGCATTACCTGAAAGGCTCCTTTGTCCGCCAGTGCATCCGAAGGGTGCTACGTTAGTCGTGAAATTCCAGATTGTGTGAATGTCAGCCAGTCACGCTGACCTCAAAAGTTCTGCAAGTCTGCGTTGCATTTCTAAAGAAACGTGTGGGTGTTTGCCCATGACTAACATGGAGAAATTGACTAAAGAAGATATATTTGCGTCTTGACGAGCAGCAGTAAGGCTCTGACAGTGGGCGTGAGATGCTGGGCTGCACTAAGCGGTGCGTACCGCACATCTCAGTATGCATGAGCAATGGCTGTCACTTTTTAAATAATACATTACTGAAAGCCTTGTCGTGTCATGTATTTTATCAAGTGTTTCTATTTTTTCTAACTTCAAAACAATGTACCGTTGCTGTTCAACCACGAGACCAAAACTCGAAATCAACTTTATACTACTTGACAAAAGATCTTGAAATAACAGGAATGACTAAGAGCCTGGAGAAGAGAGCACGCTCACCTTGATGTGATTTTCTGGCGATGGTGGTGGATGTTTCGAATATGTGGCACAAAAAGAGGTAGAGGCAGCGAAAATTACAATAATATACAAAGATATTTAAATAAAATGACTACCTTCTGGTTCGTGACACGCACACCAGTACAGCTTCCACTCATTCATGGGGGCGGGGGGGAAAGAAAACCTTTTGCTCACCGCTGAGAGCAGAAGGCGGATACTTGCTCGCTGATCCAAATAAAAGCCAATTAAAGTTCAGAAAGAAGTGACGAATCATTAGAGGGCGTGGCTTCTTTTTTCCTCCCACAGTGTGCTTCTATGACGTATGTTGGGGACCCCCCCCCCAAACAGTCAATTTGTCATTTCTGGTTAAGATTACTAAAACCTTCCATTCGTTTACCTGGTGTAAACATTGAGAGTAGATCTTTTTTAAATTAACTACCTGAGAACTTTTGAACTAATAATAATAACGTCGAGTGACATGACTAAAAAAATAAAAAATAAAGACTAAAAAAATAAAAAATAAAAAATAAAAAAATTAAAAAAAAATAAAAAAGAAAAAATTGTGGGACGAAAATGAAGTTATACTGCCTTCTATTGACCAAGCATCCTAATTACACCTCTGCGGATAAGGTGCCCTCAAATAATTGAAGCTCATTTTGGAGATTTGCTGAATACATTTCATTCTGTCCTTTTTTTAACTGAAGGAGTTCACTCGGTATTTCTACTTTTAGTAGACCTTCTTATACAATTATCTATCACAAATATCTACTGAAGTACAGAATGTGAGTATCAGTAATTTTACCCCCTCGTGTTCATGTATGTGTTCATCAAATTTCTACTTACTCAGTGGTTATCCAACCCTATTACGTTTGTGTATGTTGCTGAAACAGGTTGTTAAATAAATAGCTCAAATGATGAACCCTGAAGAAAATGCGCAATGTTAATGTTGGTTTATGATAATTGTTAAACCTACCGCATATTGAACAAAGATATGGAACATCACGGGCCTGAAGCAAAAGATCACTGATGCTATCACAATTATTGATGATTCTATGCTCCAGCAAACATGAAAATGAATCGAGTCGCACCCTGATGTGCTCTGTGCAATTATTAATGCACATTGTGAAGGTGAATTAAATGAGGCAAAAGAACTTCAATACCTATTTCTCATTTTGGAATAGTTTGCACAGACGGGTCTATTCATTTGCTGCTGTAATAAATGTGTTAAATTATAAAGACATTTCATGGGCACCCTGTATAATAGCCAGGAGACACATCATTAAGTACATCACTACATCTTTATTTATACAGCGCTTTCACATCAGCATAACCTAATACTAGAGCTCGATGAAAATGTTCTTTTTTTTTAATTGAAACAAAATAGAATTCTTTGATCATATGATTTTTCGGGGCAGCGCGGTGGGTGACTGGTTACTGTGTCCGCCTCACAGTGCAGAGGATTAGGATTTGATTCCGGGCTGCGGCCTTCCTGTGTGGAGTTTGCATGTTCTCCTCGTGCCTGCGTAGGTTTTCTTCGAGTACTCCAGTTTCCTCCCACATTCCAAAAACATGCATGGCAGGCTGATTGACCACTCAAAAATTGTCCCTAGGTGTGATTGTGAACGCGAATGGTTGTTCGTCTATGTGTGCCCTGCGATTGGCTGGCAAACAGTTCAGGGTGTACCCTGCCAACGGCCCGAAGACAGCTGGGATGGGCTCCAGCATGCCCGCGACCCTTATGAGGATAAACGGAATGGAAAACGTATGGATGGATGGTTAGTATGATTATTATTTCAGTTATGACCATGTGGTGCCACCGTGCGACACACACACCGAGTCTGATCAACCGGGCCAACCTCGGCAGAGGGTGTTAAAAATGGCCGAAACACCCAATGATGTTGAGGCATTCAACTGATGATGTGTTGGACATGATGTGCCGGGTGGGGTGCGCCACATCAGTGCCAAATCCCACTCCACCCAAGATCACATTTCCAACTCTTCCATCTATTGTGCTGAACATTTAAGGACTTGAAACAGCAAGTCCTATAAAGAAGTCAGAAATAAGTGAGGTGCGTAGAGGTCCACTCCACAATAATGTGTTTTAAATCAACTCAAGCATAATTTGCATTGTCAGGTAAAAGTATTTCTGATTATGTGTGCAGACAAACACCGAGAGGAGGCAAAGCAACCTGAAATTTATTGCAGGTGAGCATCAGAGTCTCTGTACTGTGTTTTATGACTGCCAATAAAAATAAATGTGCATAAAGATCCCGTGAAAGCGCACGCATTTTAAAAGAAATGAGGCAGCGTGATCCCGTTTATCGTCGAGTTCCTGTCAGGGAAAGGAGCAGTAAAAAGTTTAAAAAAAGAAGAGCTGCAAACGTCGGTTTGTTTTTTTGTGTGTGTGTGTGTGTGTGTGTGTGTGTGTGTGTGTGTGTGTGTGTGTGTGTGTGTGTGTGTGTGTGTGTGTGTGAAATGTCAATGTCATTCTATTCTGAAAGCATAAATGAAAGAAAAATGAAAAGAAAAAATGAAAATGAAAAGAATGTTACATCATTCAAAGCTGAGGGTCAGGCCTCAAGAACTTTGTGTCACAAAGTGCCGATTTGAAGGTTTAAGCCCTTCTTTTCCTTTCTGAATGTTTGCCTTTTACTTTAACATTCGAGATCGTTTTCTTTTTTCCTGTTCAATATTTCAAGTCGAATTTTAGTACATTTTGCGGAGAATTCAACATAACAGCGGCTGCTAAACGGTGACTGACCAGATTATCAGTGGATGATGTTACAGTTGAGGCCATAGAAGTTATGTTTCTTGCCAGTGAAAATATTGTCCCTCAAGTCCAGAGAAGCATATTTGACGGAGCTGTTAAAGTTGTGATGGGCGTTTGTCCTGGAATAATTGCCTTGCAGGCCCAGAAGGCCATCACCCGCACCTGCCCTCATGCCGGCAGCTCTTCCCCCAGGTGCGATGCCGGGCAGCACGCGAAGCCGTGACAGTTTGCGTCGGGCGCCTTGTTCGTTTGTCGACGCGGGAGGCCTCGTGAGGCTTTCATCAAAATGCACTTTGGCTGCCTCCTTGCTCTCCGCTTGATTTGACTCGGTGGCTTCTGTCCCACCACTCACGGCGCGTGAGGGATCTGAAACCACGTTCTGTGGACCCGTTGTTTTATTGCACTGACACATCGGACAGATACGTTGGATCCTAGCGGAAGTAGCGCCTTGGTTTGTAGCTGGTGAAAACATGTCAGCATAAGTGCTCTTGGTGTTTCTCCCCTGTCTTCTTCTCTGTCTCAGTTTCGAAGGAACCAGCACATAAACAGACCGATCCCTCTGGAGGGAAAGCTTCTCATTAGCGACAGTGGAATGCTGTTGTGTTGACTTAATTGCGTATTTTCTCACCTCTGTTCCCAGCGGTGCAGAATGCGAAGTCCTCCCAGTGGGCTCACTCATTTTTTCCCTGAAGTCATCAATTTTACAAGCTTGCTGCAACCCTAAAAAATAAAATAAAATAATAATAATAAAGCAAGATGAACAATCATCAAAAGAGCACTACTCTGGACTCACAGTGAAACATGTTTGTGACGGCATCATTAAGGACTGACTTATAAATGAGAGAAACACTCAAAGAGTCAATTGCCTGGAGTCCCGAGATTTCCAGGAGGCCCTCATGTTTCATAAAAACGGATTAATGGAGGTTTTCTTCCGTTTAAAAAAAAAAAAAAAAAAAAAGACTGTTTTAGTTTCAATTCACGTGCTTAACAACACATCAATTGTTTGGGCTATCTTGGTCGTTTCGAGCGCTCCTCTTCCGGGGCTAGCGAGAGTTATAAGGGCCCCCAATTGTGTCATAAAAACAAATTAATAAGAGTTTTCTTCCATTTAAAGATGCTTTTTTGAAATTGTTTTAGTTTAATCCATATGCTTTAAAGCACATCAAATGCTGAATCTATCATGATCCTCTTCCTTCTTCTGCAATGGACTATTTCTGTGCGATTCAGGAAGAGGGGAGCAATAAGCAATGCAACTTTGTGAACAACATCAAACAAAGATGTCCCAGTAGAGCAGAGAAACTGAGAAGGTGAGTGGAAAAACATTGTTTTTTTTTTTAACTATGAAAGGATTCAGCATAACCGACAACAGCAAGAACGCCTTTTGCGCTAGAACTGCTGCCCTTCATCTTCGCCTGAAAGATTCTCACGTCTGCTAGACAGCAATGACCTTGTGCGAGTCAACATGGCTTCACCAGGAAACAACTGACGTTTTGGAATGGCAAGGGCAGAGCCCAGAACTAAATCCAGTTAAAACTCTCGATTAAGTAATCTGAAGTGGTTTGACACAGCGTTTGGGGGGTTTGGTGCTCGTCTGCAGCGAAGCGTAGACAGCAGTTGTTCACTCAACTTTAATAGCAACGCCGACTCCAACCCAAAGACTCGATGATGAAACTAGGTCCAGGTATTTATTTTTCCATGTGGCTCACATCAGTGGAGTAGCATGGGTCGCCAGTGCCCAAGGTGAGTCAAGACCAGCGCCATCTAATCCGTTCAGAGCTCCCCAGGGGGTTGCCAGTCCACTATGAATCCTTTTGTACCCTTCCGGAACTCTCCATACTTTGTGCTTGTGTGCAAACCAAACGTGTGTTTATAACTACCGGGCCACATCCTTTGTTTGGGTCACTGTGCAAACGTCAAAGCAATTATCTTTGGCCAAGATGCACAAGGAATAATAAATGTTATGGAATGGAGAACAAACTGCTATTGGTGTAGGTAAATACAGTACATATTTCTATTTCTATAGATCCCTCCCTGATGCAATGCTACTGGTTTGTGCATTGCCAAAAAGAAGAGTCCTGTGTAAACGTCCAGGGCCACTATTAGATTCGTTGTTTTACCAATGCAGTAATGACCAGTACAGAAACAATGTCAGTCAGTCACAGTAAAAGTGAAAAATAAAGAGAGATGACAAAAAGACAGGCATCAGCATTTTGATTCTGGGGAGTTGGACGAGGAAGTTCCATAGATGCCACAGTGATTGGAATAGTCACCTTCATTTAATTAAATCCAATAAATAAAAACTACTTTCCTGTATTCGTACCCTCTACCCAGATCCTCGCGGTTCGTTTATCGTGGCTTCAGTGCATCGCGGATTTTTTCAAACATATTCATAAAAAAAAAAAAAAAAAAAATTTGTTTTTTTTTTTCATATACATGGAGTACAGTACTGTATATGTTGCTCTATGTGACTCGCTGTTGTTTTGCTGACTTTCGCAGCTTCTCGCGGACCGTTTGCGGATTTAAAAAAAAAAAATTAATATGATAATTGGTCGCTACTTCGCGGATTTTCGTTTATCGCGGGTGGTTTTGGTCCCCATTAATCGAGATAAACAAGGGATTACTGTACTCGTTTTGACCATGTGCCAAGTTTTGAAAAAAAAAAAACGCTCCGTAATTGTTAGTATAATCCTGCTAATCTACATCTGTCCTACTATTTACTGTTTTGTTTCAAAATGACTGATATGCAAAAGGTTACAGTATTAAAAATATACATGTATTGGTCGTCTTAAAACTTTGACAAAGGTCAAATATGAAGGCTCCAAAAGCAGTCCATTTGAGGGTGGCACCCCAAAGGCCAGCCGTTTTATTTGCAAGGGTTCTCCATTACAGTTGCTGTCTTCAGTGTCTATTTCAGCTTCTTGCAAAGACCATTTAAAGGAATTTACCTTGATAGTGCATCTGATAAGAAGTGATCCAATGCATCCTATCCATACTCCTCAACATGTTACTTGTCCAGTCAGAAGCCGTCAAATCCCCGTCACAAATTTTGGGGTTGGGCAGAACCGCCCTTGTGGGAGCCGCGTACAAGGCGTGCCGTACTCCCCTGACGGGCTTTGGACGCTAGAAAACAAGAATGAACAGAAAAGGTCAGATGTGTACGTAAGGTGGAGTGAATTTTGTAGGTCAAATATCATTTACGTCCGTGTAGCTAATCTCTCCTGGCCACTTGGCTGTTTTTGCCCTTGTTGGTATTTCCAAAATCTCATGTCTGTATGGACCACCTGAATGAGGGGGAGAAAAAAAAAAACAGCTGAGAAAGCAACAGCTTACAACCAGCCACAATCAATTACATCCATTGTACCTTTGGTTTTGCTGAGTACAGTAACCTTCGGTGTAGTTGGGACGATGGGGCTGATAAAAGGGAACAGGGCCGGCCTAAATCCTGCTCGATGATCACCGGATGACCGGAAGGATGGGAACATCTCAAAGCGGGAGATGTGGGATGCATAGGGATGTTCTCTTGGAATCGCAGTCTTTGCTGCTTTCTCCCTGTTTGGAAATCATTCAGTCAACATGTGTTCAAGGTGGGCTCAGCCGCAAGCGCATTTCAACAAGGAATCATCGCAGGAGCCATACTTACACTACATTTACATCTGTGGGGTTTGGAACGCTAAGAAAAAACACATAATTACTCCGCGCCGGTCTTGTTTAGTGTAAAGCTAACGGCGAAACAAGCAGGATTACTCACAGCTGATCACTGAGGGGTGCATCACTTTTCTTTGTGACATCACTGATGTGAGAGTGACTCACAGTTTGCCTGTAAAAGGAGAAGAGCAATCATTAGTTTCGATTCATTTGCCAGTTTTGGGATGCACGTGTCCGTATGGGCTCACCTGACGCTGTTGTTGACTGCGGAGGACTCCATCTGGTTGCAAAAACTCCGATGAGATGATTGAAGAGAGGAACAGATTTTTTTTTTTCCACCATGAAAAGATTCATTTGGATTGGAGTTGTAAAGAGGCGGAAGCCATTGGGGAGGCATTGATGCAGAAAGAAAATGTTAATGTATAGTCATTTTAATTCACTTCTATCTTAACTTCCCATACTTTAATTGATATTTAATTCAATGATTCCCCACCCCCACACACACACACATACACAAATGTGATTGACAACTAGAAAAAGCGAATTTACCGCATATTTTGTAAATTTTATTCCTTTACATGAATGCGTTGAATAGCCAAAACATTTTATCGCCATTGCTTAATGGCACTTCCAATACCGGATATCCCTCTTTATGTCCATACGTTTCCTTTAATTTTCATGAAAATGTTGTCACACTGACAATAAAACAAAATGACGTTTTGAATAGAACCATGCGTGACTACCAGTATACATATAATGGAGCGATGTGTATGTTAAGTACACTGAAAGAAAAAAAATGGCATGTTGAATTTACTCAATTTTATTTCATCAGCGGGTTGCGTAAAATGAAATCATTTGGATCCAGATACATCACTGGTGTCAAACTCAAGGCCCGGGGGGGGGCAGATCTGGCCCACCACATCATATTATGTGGCCCGTGAAAGCAAATCAAACATGTCACCTTCCATGATTGATGCTTGCTAAAATCTTGCAAAATTTCACATTCTCATATGTAATAAATAGCAAATATTGTAAGCATTTTCTTGTGACCAAAGCCCTCATAACAGCCACTTCAACAATTGTTGAATAAACCATTATTCTTGACTTCTTCATATGGTTTGACAGTCATAATGGCCCTCCAAGGGAAACGGTGACTCCAATGTGGCCCACGACAAAAATGAGTTTGACACCTCTGAGATACATGTTTTAAGTAGCTCTATAATTCACTTGGAAAATGTATCTGAATCCAGATGATATCATTTTGTGCCACCACTTAACAAATTAAAATTGAGTAAATTCAACAAAAACGTTTTTCAATGTATTGAACATAAATGTGATATTTTTCATTCGTCTAGGCTTTGTAATCGACACGCAGTGTTGAAGTAGCACCTTGGATATGGACATGGACAAGCCGCACAGTGGACATGGATTCAACACAACAGGACAAATGATCTTCCCAGGCTTTGAAGACGAAAAGAAATCACCGAATTGAACAAATGTTACTCCGGTTTACCTTCACAGGTACGAGCAGCCAATCCACCTTGTCCAGTTGACGGACAGGGTTTCTTAACAGTGCAGCAGGAGGTGGTCAAGAAAGAAGGGCCTGGATCCGATGAGTCCAGATCGACCAAACGACTGTGACGATAAATTTAATACAACGTCACAGATTGCTTAAATCACATTATGAGCTGAATGAGTGCTCAAGCTAGCAGTATTGGACACATACTGAAACCAGACACCTGCCTAGGAAGAATTTGGTTTTGGTTACAAGGAGTCATCTTTCACCGTCTCTGTTGCAATGCAACCGAGGAGGAACAGCTACATGTCGAAGCTGCACTTCAACACTACTCTCAAGGTCTGAGGGATGATTGAGGAGGTTCTTTACATCTGTACGCATATTTGATTTGCTCTAAAACATACTAAATGAGGTGTCATAGAAAAGTTCCAGGACTGGTGTCAACAGCGATGTTCTTCTCAGCCTCTAACTGGCTGGCGGAGGTTTGTCGTTACGGTAAAGAAGCCACGAGTTGTCCTTTCAAAACGTTCACCTCTCTCATGCACTGAACAAAGCAAATGCCGCAGGAACTATGTAAGCACGCTGGCTTGATCGTCTGGCCCGCTTTGAAGAGGAAAACTGGTACTTTGGGTTTGAATTATTTTTTTTTGTGACACCAGCGCTGGAACAATTCTTCCACGTTGTATTCTATCACCCCATTTTCTGTATCAATAGTCCTATTGTCATGCATGGGTGAGGTGGAGCTGATCCCAGCTGACTTTGGCCAAGGGGCAGGGCACACACCGTACTGGTCCCGGCCAATTGCAAGTTGCTTACGTATTCATATGCAAAACATGGCCAAGGGGCAGGGCACACACCGTACTGGTCCCGAGCCAACTGCAAGCTACTTACGTATTCATATGCAAAACGTACAAAGTTGAAAGAAACCATAAGTGCCAATCGATAGCAACCTTGCAGTGAAACAACGGCTCGCATTAGCATTCTATTACATCTGGTTCAAAGATGAATGCAGACATTGCACTCGGCGTTGGACGTTATACAATGCACAAAGCGTTCACGGATCAGTGCTGCTATCTCTCCTTTGACTCTCAGCAGCGATGTACTACAAGACTCTGCTGCATTGTGCTTTTTAATTGGGATTCCCATGAGATGTCCTTGAGAGTCTCAGTAAAATACAAACGTACGGCAGGCCAGTAACCAGTTACATAGATTTGGTCCAGTGGAAAGAGCCGTTCGCCCGATTCCTGCCACTGTCGTGAATCACATATTGCAGCGGCTTGATAATATCGAGGAGAGGTATGAAGAGAGGATATAGCTTAGACAGGGTTGCACAAACACACAGGAGTTTAAGTAGAAATGGTGGCTGAGGAAAAATAGCGTTCGTGACTGCAAATACTGTATCTGTGATGTAATCAATCAGGTAGGATAATACTGTCTTGCACATCCATCCTTCCATCCATTTTCTGTTCCATTGCGTTTGCCCAAAAATTATTTTCTAACCTTGCGCGAGAGATCTGCCATCAGGAGATGTCATTTTGTCCAACATCGATATTTTTTCTTTTGCTGCAAATGTCAGCTCATCTTTCTGATAGTGCATGCAGTCTTTGATTGAAGTCATTTCCTCTTTTGTTCCAGCTCACCCGTGTGTCCGCTTGTGTCCGTTCATTAAAATCCTGTTCATCACCTGGGTGATGCACATCTTGAGCAACTTTTTTTCCTTCCATTTTGATATTTCTGCCAAGATACGTTTGAAGGGGGAAAAAAATCCAAATGAATCCAACATTGTAAATCTTATTATAATTTCCTTAAAATACAGCTAATTCCCTGTGAATGAACTCTAAGGCTCTGGTTTGCATACCATATTCATGTTTTCAGTTTATGTCAGGCATGCGCAGTACTTAACATTATCAAACAATCATCTCCAACATTATGCAACCCTAGATCAAAAGACGAGTACAGTGGATCTGACAGGATATGTGGAGAGGAGCCTGCAGTGTTTTTGATGTGTAACAATGGTTATATTTAATGTGAACACAAGGGGTTGATTGCAACGTATTTGCATCACCGAACATAATATTGTGCAGCAGCGAGGCAACATGAAGATGACATTGTGAAACATTTTATTCATTAATTTGATGAGAACTGAACTAGTGTTAGATTTTCATTTATTCTAAAAGTCGACATAGTTGGACTTGACTCCACACATACCCTGGGCTCTGGTACTGGTTCTGTCGAGAGGGGTTGGACTTCATGACCTGTGGGACTCCAGAAGCAGCTGATGGGTACAGGCTGGCCGAGGAGAACGCAGCTTCAGCAGTCTCTGAGGCAAAAAACTCGGGCATGGGAAGAGTTCGGCGAGGCCATGGAAGCCGACTTCCGGATGGCTTCGAGGAAATTCTGGTCCAACATCTGACATCGCTGCTGACCTTGACTCGGGTCATTGTGAGTCGGTGGGCAGAATACTTCGAAGATCTCCTCAACTCCGCCAACTCATTGGAGGAAGCAGGGTTTGGGGACTCTGAGGTGGCGTCTTCTATCTCTGGGGTTGACGTCACTGAGGTGGTTAAAAAGCTCAGTGACTGAAAGAACGGGAACCCGGATACAAGCGGCCGAAATGAGTTTCCTCCGCAGGGTGTCCGGGCTCTCCCTTAGAGATAAGGTGAGAAGCTTGGTCATTCGGGAGGGGCTCGGAGTCGAGCCACTTCTCCGTCATGTCAAGAGGAGCCAGATGAGGTAGCTCGGGCATCTGATTAGGATGCCACCTGGACGCCTCCCTGGTGAGGTTTTCTGGGCACGTCCCACCAGTAGGAGGCCCCGGGGACGACCTAGGACACGCTGGAGAGACTATGTCTCCCGCCTGGCCTTGGAACACCTTGGGTCCCCCCAGGAAAAGCTGGAAGAAGTGGCTGGGGAGAGGGAAGTCTGGGCCTCCCTGCTAAAGCTGTTCCCCCATAACCCGACCCCGAATTAGCAGCATAAAATTTATGGATGGATGGATGAACTCGTGTTTTTTACAGTAATCCAGGTGGGATTACTGATTTAAATGTGCTATTAGAAACAACTTTAAATTAGCAGTTTTACAGGACGAGAGCGCCTCCTGTTGGCATTTCACGAGAATACAGTTGCTTATTTACATTTTCCTACATTTTTTTTCCTACCGGGCGTTCTTTCAAGAGTCAGGACCATGACAAAAATATGATAATACGAATGTAAATTATTAGATGTCATAAGAATTTGTGAGTGACAAGAGTTGGGGAGAGTCACAGACAATGTAGCAATTATATCAGGTATATCAACCACGACTCATTTGAATAAACACGTGTTTTCATATTTACCACCAAAAGCCTCTATCTATCTATCTATCTATCTATCTATCTATCTATCTATCTATCTATCTATCTATCTATCAATCTATCACAACATGATTGACAGCTGCCATTTAACCACTATAGACGAAGAAATGTCCCCTAGTTCCTCTAAATCTAGATGGAAAATGAGATGTGTTCCATTCAAGTTCCACAAGAAATTATAGTTCATTAGCATCGGTAGCTCACACAACTCTATTTTAAGGTAAATGGAGTCCGTTTCTTCAGTGTTGTGCACCTGTGGCATCAAAGTCCACTCCACCTGTAGCCTGCTCTCTGCTCCCCTCCCACTATGTGTTGTTCAGAAGATGGCGTTCACATGGGTAATGAATGGATTCATGTTAGGAGGACAGCACAGCCTCAGCCCACCGTGCAGCTTCACTCATGTTCCAGCAGCATTCGAGCGCGCATGCAGTTTGCTCCTCAGAACCTCCATCCCACCATGATGACTTCGGACTATTCTGATGTCGAGGCGTTTTTAGACGGCCACCCGGAACTCTTCGAGGAGTATCTGGTCCGAAAGGCCAAATGTGAGCATATTAGCAGGTGGCTGAGGGAGCACCAGGCTCCGAAAGTGACCGCGGCCGATGGGAGACGCGGCGGCGCCACGGCCACGGAGCCTTCCGTGTGGCCGGCCAATCCGGACGCTCTCCGACGCAGGTCGTCTCACATGGAGCTTCGGCGCAACTTCGCCCGGTCCAAAGCCACCACGGCGCACCGGACCTACGACGAGCACGCCAGTTTCAGCCAGCAGGATCCACAGTCCAGCATGAGGCGACGCGCACTCCTGCGTAAAGCCAGCTCGCTGCCTCCCACCACGGCGCACATCCTCAGCGCTCTGCTAGAGTCCAGAGTCAACGTGCCACAATACGCGTCCACCGCTACCGACCACAAGTGTCGCCTCAGGGAGACCAACGAGAGGGAGTTTTTCTTGGAACTGGTCAAGGACATCTCCAACGACCTGGACCTGACCAACCTGAGCTATAAGATCCTGATCAACGCGTGTATCCTGGTGGACGCCGACAGGTGTTCCCTCTTCCTCGTGGAGGGACCCCCGCACAAGAGGACGCTGGTGTCCAAAGTGTTTGACGTGCACTCGGGCACCACGGTCAGACCCTCCTCCTGCACCCTCAACTCCTGCGAGGTGCAGGTGCCTTGGGGAAAGGGCATCATTGGATACGTGGCGGAGCACGGAGAGACCGTCAACATCCCCAATGCATATCAGGTAAATGGAACAAGCGCGACGCACTTGAATGGAAAATAAGATGACAACTGTATAAACAAGATGTCTGTAAAATTATGCGTTATGACCACTTACTCAATCTAATGAGATCACCCATATATCTATTTCAACAAGTTGTTTATTTACTGTCCAATCAAAATCTCCTATTCGTGGTGATTGGTACCACAGCGTCCCACAAGTCAATTTGTGTCTGGCACCCATTGAAATGCATTGGCGGGAGAAAAATTATAATTCAACACTAAAACATGCTCCCCAAAACATTCAATACATGGAACACGAGGAGAAAAAAAAACCCTCAAAGAAACAACTTGCAGAAATGTTTTCATCAAACTAGAATCATACTCAGCCGAGCAGGCTCCTCACCCATGATTTGGATGAACGTCTGCTGCATGGCTTCATACTTGCCGCCTGTCATCAAGTTAAACACGTGGATTGAAAAATAGCATGCCAAAATGTCTTACGTGCAAACAAAATGTCTGCAACAATTTGCGTTGCTGAGCACTACGTTTTAGGACCACTTGTGCAATTGAATGACATCAGCGTTGTTCCACTATACATTCACAATAACTGACAGCCAAATCGAACGGAGCGGATGTGTTTTATTAGCTCTTGTATACTTGCCACTATAGTAGCTCATTATAAAATATTACAGTTATCAAACAATTATTTCTTAAGACACGACCAAGTCAAACTTCTTGAATATTTTTTTTTCTTCTTCAGTAATTGCATTGTGCACAATAGGCAAGGTTGCATGACACACTACTGTATGGTTATCACTCATACAGTACTTATGATCAGATCGCCTATTTAATGCCTGTGCGTTCCTAATAGAAATAGACACTCAGATTGACATATCTTATATTTATATACGATCTCATGGCTCACATGCTCTATTATTATGATGATGATGCTAAATACTTTTTAGACACATCTGGTTAGTTGCAATCTGCATTTTGTTGACTAGTGACATGTACTGAAAACAAAGTGCAATATGGTATGGCCACTATAGGCCTGTGAGTTTATGTTTTGCCCCATAGCTTTAGGTCAGTATCTAATAAATGTGCGCTTTATACTTTGAAGATAAACAATATTTTTAAAGTTTTCTATTGGCTGTCCACCTGCCAAGTAGATGCATTTCTATTGTGTTATCATTGTGCTCCATATCACAGATTTGAACAAATTTCAGAGGGAAATAAACCTTTTGTTTGCATATGCTAAGTCATCTTGCATCATTTATTATTTAAGGGCTTCAAGACAAGTGCTGCACGTATTTATGATGTAATATAGATGTTTTACTTATTTATTCAGTGTTCATGAAACATATTTTGTCCATCCGAGTCTCTCGTATGCATTTGTATTTTTTCTTCTTTGCCTCACAGACATTTAATCTGCCGAAGATTCGAAAATGTGTTAGATTATAAGAACATTGAGGTCATCGAGTTGCTCTGGTGAGGAGTGTGGATGGAGTCTATTCATTGGTTTTTTTCTGTCATTTACTTTTGAGGTCCACAGTTAATATCTTTTATTGTGACATAACCAAAATAATTAGCAACATTTATGTCATGCTCGATGGCTCCGAGCGGTGCGTAATGTCACTGGCTGCCCTTCGACAATGGCTGCTGACTGTGGTGATCTTCATCAGTGCTCTCAAGGCTGCTAAACCAAAGCTAAATGCAAATCTTTTCACAATGGCGGCGGCATTGACTGTACGAGAGCTTTTTTTATGATATGTGCTTCCTTCCGTGCCTTTCAGGACCACCGCTTCAGTGACGAGATCGACAAGTTAACCGGCTACAAGACTCAGTCCATTCTCTGCATGGCTATCTGCAACAGTGACGGAGAGGTCATTGGCGTGGTCCAAGCAATCAACAAGAATCCCACGGGAACGCCTTTCACTGAGGATGATGAGAAAGTGAGACATCTCACCGGACGGCTCGCTTATACACTCACATTACATTGCCTGCGGTCAGCGGGCCGTACGGCTAGAAATATCGAGAGAAGGTGATAGAAGTATGGAACATTAAACACATCGAGGAGGGAAGCAGTTTGAGTGTAAACACTTCAGTGACTCTCCGAGGAGGTCGTAGTTTTTCTTCTGCGGGCGTTAAAGCCGCTCTTGACTTAGAGCTACACTCTCTGTCCATTGCTGGCAACGTGATACATCGAGCTTTTGAAGGAGTTGGGAAATCCAGCTAAACAGTTAAGAAGACTTGCAAATTATTTATACTCAATTGTAGTGCAACCCCATTTCACCCTACATTAGAGTTCACGAGCTTGTCCACAAGGTGGCAGAATGAAGTTGTTTCATCTGCTTTGCTTCTCATTTTAGTTTATTTGGACGGCTCAATTCAATCCCCTGCTTGATGTTTCAGTTTCAGTTTCAGTTTCAGAAAACTTTATTTATCCCCGTGGGGCAATTAGAGTATTCACAGCAGCATGTGAATGCATTTTATGAACTACAAATCTGTTTGCAGATGAGCAGTTAATAAAAGCAACCGGTTGACGATGGCAACTCACAACATCTGCTTTGCTTCTCATTTTAGTTTATTTGGACGACTCAATTCAATCCCCTGCTTGATGTGAATGCATTTTATGAACTACAAATCTGTTTGCAGATGAGCCGTTAACAAAAGCAACCGATTGACAATGGCAACTCACAAGCTTGAAGATAACGTGCTACTTTTTTTTTTTGTGATCAGGTACTGCAGATGTATTTACCCTTCTGTGGAATATCCATCTCCAATGCCAAGTTGTTTTCTGAGTCTCGCAAGGAGTACGAAAGGAGCAGGGTGCGTGATCCTATCAATCTCCTTTCCACAAAAAAAACAAACAAACAAAAAAAAATCAAACCTTTGACAGTATTAATTTTCAGGCATGCACGTTGTATGGCTAGTATAGTCCATCAGCAGTGGCCGATGAAGTATGGCATCGCACGTAGAGTTCGAAACTACCTTCTACTGCCTCAGGCTTTACTGGAAGTGGTCAACGATCTGTTTGAGGAGCAGACCGATTTGGAGAAGATCGTGAGGAAGATCATGCAGCGAGCGTTGACCCTCCTGCAGTGTGAACGCTGCTCTGTACTTCTTCTTGAGGACATCGAGTCACCGGTGAGGCCGTTTGAAATGAAGCTGTTTTGGGTTTTTTTTAGTTTTTACTTTAACCCTTATAGGAAAAGGAAAAGGAAAGAGGTCTTTGCTTCCCTTTAGGAGCAATGAAAAAATTAACTGTGCTGCTTACCGTGATGTGTCCTCTAAGGTTGTGAAGTTCTCCAAGACGTTTGAGCTGATGTCCCCCTTGAGCAACATGCATCATGACATCAGGTGACATCGAACGCAAATGAAAAAAAAAGGCAGAAAAACAAGCATTATGAGCAACATAAAATGCACTTTAACCTTTACAAGTGAGTGACCTAACTTTGACCTTCTCTCAACTTTGAGTCCCGAAACATTGAAGAGTTGGCCGTGCCCACTGAAAAGTTTAGAGAAGGTCAAATTGAGTAAAACTACATTACATTTTAGGTTCATCTTGAAATTTCATCCGAAAGCTGAATATATGTAACTTTTTGAGAGCAGATTATGCATTATAAGGATAACAGTTGAATGATGAAAACATTTGGATCCACCAAAGGTTACTAGCACATACCATTTAGTCGTGGCAACACTCGTGGCCATTTTTTTTTTTACAAGGTTGAATGCTCACAGGTTGTTTTTGTGGCTCTCTATCCATACGCAGCATTAGCATAGAGAAGCTGTCATGCTCAGATTGGCTAATCAATAATAGCATCGCTGAGCTGGTGGCCTCCACGGGACTTCCCGTTAACATCAGTGACATGTGCCAGGACCCACGCTTTGATGCCGAGGTGAATTTAGCACCAAGCTTTTATAAGCATTTTTACATCCCCACACGAGGATTTCAATAACTACGGCACCCAATACAATCTTTTTCTAGGCAGACCAAGCCTCAGGATTTCATATCCGATCAGTGTTGTGTGTGCCTATCTGGAATCGAACGCACCAGATTATTGGTAGGTTTGCCAGATTGAACAAAAAGTCACATTTTTTTTCATGCTGAAAACCAATGACGATCAGTCAGCATCATCAGTCCAAGCTGATGATGCTGTTTTACTTTCTTTCCATCATGTAGTCCATATTCACTATATTACAAACTGGTGATTCAATTGGGAAATTTAATCTGCATTAATACCTATTTCTCATGATCTATGGACATTTGAATTATTTTAATCAGCCAGCGGGGTGGAGAAGGGAGATGCCAGGGTGCGGTGGCTGACAGGGGAAAACGCGCTGCAAATGGCTGAACGCTACAAACACAAGAATGATGCAAACAAAACACATAAACACAAAAATGAAAAAAAAAAAAAAACAACAGAAACATAAGAAAGAAATACTGAGACTGAGTTAACAGCGTATTCTGCGGGTATCTGTCAAATGATAACTTCAACAAAATTATTAGGAAACCTTCAATTAGTTGATTTTTATCCCCATTCCCAATCCCAATTTGCAGCGTAGCGGTAATGATTATTCCAGTGTGTTTCATAATTTCCTGTGCAGGGGCAGTTTCAAGTTTGCCAACTAATGCCAGCTGTTTTTTTTTATTTTTTTATTGGCTGCTGGGGAAGTTTTGATTTGGCCCTATGAACTCTACCCGGCATCATTTTTATTGATCGACATTGATGTGCCTGTTAAATAGTTAAACATTTTATTTCATGTGTGGTTTCTCCTCCACAGGGGTTGCACAAATTTTGAATCGTCTCGACAGGAAGACCTTCAGCGATGCAGATCAGAGACTGTTTGAGGTTTTCAATCATTTGGAGGGCACCGGGTTTTCAAAAGATTGAGCACATAAGGCATGAAAAACATTGTACTCCCTTCGGCTATTTTGTTTGTGTGCAGGCATTTGTGATTTTCTGTGGACTTGGCATCAACAACACTATGATGTACAATCAAGTGAAGAAGACGTGGGCCAAGCAGTCTGTGGCCCTGGATGTGAGTACCACTAACACATCGCAACGGTAAACTTATCACTCACGCGGTTTATTCTATTTAACAATAAATGGCGGATTTTAAAATCTTTCCATTCTCCCTATAAAGGGATATTCTCTCTTGTCTTGGACTAAAATGAAAAATAACTGGCAAAAAAAGGTCTCATCGTTCAATGCTGGCAGATACTTAATATATTGAATGATTAGTCAGTGTTTCCCAGCTGGCTAAGGTTAACTGGGCCGGTATGCGGCGGTGCAGGTTACGAGCACTTGGCAATTTGAGCCTCTTGCGTCCCAGAACTTTTTACGCCGAATTGGGACTTCACATAAGCCCACAGGACCCTCTCTTGTTCTATTTCTTTCTTGTACTTTGTGGTACTCCTACGACACCTTCAGTAATTCGGGCACCCCAGACTGCAAATGAATGATGAGTCCATCTCTTGTCAATTGTAGTTCTAAAAGCTTGTGGGAAGGCCCAATTTTGGAAATTTCAGAATGGCTCGCTCAAAACATTCTCCAAAAAAAGTCTTTAAAAAAATATTTGGATAATCCTGTTGGTTTGTTAAAAACCTATTAAAAATGTAGCAAAAGCATTTTTAAGCGACGACCACGTTTCATGCTGAATTTAAATCAAGTTAAGATGGACAAATACAAAAAATATATATTTTCTTTATATCATTTTCATCTATTTTTTTTTTCCAGATGCTATCCTATCATGCTACATGCTCAAAGGTAGAAGTTGACAGACTGAAGGTAATTCCAGCTGGCACAAATAGGAACATTACAGTATTCTGGCATACTGAGAAGTAAAACCCACCTCAGTTGCGATTGCTTTACTTCCTGCTTGTCTGGAGCCCTGTGACTGACAACTCTGTCCCAACCATCTCTCTCAAGGCTGCAAAGATCCCCCTGAGCTGCGAGCTTGGCATTGACGAGTTCCATTTCAACGACTTCTCTTTGGACAACGATGGGATGATTACCGCTTCTCTCCGGATGTTCCTGGAACTTGGTGTAGTCCAAACTTTTAAAATAGACTACGAGGTGACCGAAATGAAATACATTTTCATTGGTGTTCTAATTTATTAAGATGCACTGCACATCTGAGAGATTTGGTGGCTTTCAGCAAGCTGGAAAAATAAACAAACAAAAAAAATGTGTCAGTGTGCAACTATTTCTCCTTTCCTTAGGTTTTGTGTCGCTGGCTTCTCACCGTGAGGAAGAACTACCGGACTGTGGCCTACCACAACTGGAGGCACGCCTTTAACGTGTCCCAGTGCATGTTTGTTATGATCACAGTAAGTCCCACGCAACATGGCTGTGAATCCACTCTGATTGATTTGGGTTGTCTTCATCAATTAACGTGTGAAGCCGTGTGTGTGCCCCATTCACTCCTGAGTCATAAATACGCTTAAGATAATGTGCCATATTTTAAATTTGAGCGCACCTTTTCAGCATCTAGCTTGCCCCTAACCTTTCCCCCGTACGCTCATCTCAAACTTTTAAAATAGACTACGAGGTGACCGAAATGAAATACATTTTCATTGGTGTTCTAATTTATTAAGATGCACTGCACATCTGAGAGATTTGGTGGCTTTCAGCAAGCTGGAAAAATAAACAAACAAAAAAAATGTGTCAGTGTGCAACTATTTCTCCTTTCCTTAGGTTTTGTGTCGCTGGCTTCTCACCGTGAGGAAGAACTACCGGACTGTGGCCTACCACAACTGGAGGCACGCCTTTAACGTGTCCCAGTGCATGTTTGTTATGATCACAGTAAGTCCCACGCAACATGGCTGTGAATCCACTCTGATTGATTTGGGTTGTCTTCATCAATTAACGCGTGAAGCCGTGTGCCCCATTCACTCCTGAGTCATAAATACGCTTAAACTAAAGTGCCATATTTTAAATTTGAGCCCACCCTTTCAGCATCTAGCTTGCCCCTAACCTTTCCCCCGTACGCTCATCTCATGTTTTACTGCCATCAGCCTCCCCTTATGTCCCCTGACGCCGTTCTCCTTTGTACAGTTTAATCAAATCACACAACACAATAAATATCATATTTGTCAGAATGATGAATTATATTTGTTCATAGTCAGCCAGCTTTCAGGACGTTTTATCCGAAGCAGAGATTCTAGCGCTGATGGTTGGCTGTCTCTGTCACGATCTGGACCATCGGGGAACCAACAATGCCTTTCAAGCCAAGTAAGGCTCAGACAGTGTACAAGGACACTTTTTAGTGATTTATGACAGTTTTGTTGTTACTACCGTGTCTGCAGGACAGGTTCTGCTTTGGCATTGCTCTACGGCACGTCAGCGACCCTGGAGCATCATCACTTCAATCATGCAGTCATGATCCTGCAAAGTGAGGTGAGGTCCACATCGCCGATAGGATTATTTATTGATTTTATATTGTCAAATGGTTGCGAGAAATAAAACTGTCTGATTTTACTGTGTGCGACCACCCGGCGAAATAAAATGGAGTAAATTCAACACACATTAATGTGCAGTGGCACAGCGGTTGAAAATCACCGCCTAATGGGACATACATTTCTGTTTGTGACCATGTCTTACTCAGCGCACGGCAACACCCGAGGTCAGCCCGAAATTGATTCGGGAGATTTTCAGTCGAGACAGAGTCTCCCGTGGTAGCGACCACCTAAAGATTTTTGAGTCTCTGGATGGATTTTGAGAGCAGCATTATCGATAGATTTATTTTAACAGAGAGCGCGAAATGTCACTGGGTGTGGCTAACTTACATTGCTAATGGGGACTTCATTAGACTGTGAGTGATGAGTATGCCAATACGTTTGCTTTAAGGGAACATTTCAGACCCGATTGCTCATCCTTGCCTGCAAAACTGTAAGGGGATTTATTTCATATTTATGTTTCAGGGTCACAATATCTTTGCGAACCTCTGTTCTAAGGAATATAGCAACATGATGCAACTATTGAAGCAGGCCATTCTCTCCACGGACCTCACTTTGCACTTTGAGTAAGTCATCTTTTTATTGCATTCAGAGAAAAAAATGAAGAAATGAAGAACTATCTACCTGTATTCTTCTACTGCAAAACATGTTTTCGTGAAAAATCTTGCCGCATTGGATAGAGGCTTTTTTTTCCCCCCGCTCTTGCGTCCTTGACTGTCTTTGCTTGGAAAGGCGGCGGAGCAAGTTCTTTGAGAGCGTGCTCGCTGAAGAATTCAGCTGGACGGAAGAGAAACACAGAGAAGTCCTCAGGTGTTTTGTACAAAATAAAACACGGAGAATGTAGAAATCAATGACTTTTTGTTACTGAGTTTTTTTTGATGGCCTGTGACAGATCCATGCTGATGACAGCCTGTGATTTGGGAGCGGTCACTCGGCCTTGGGAGATATCCAAACAGGTTGGTGCACTTAACATTTAAGATATTTTTCTTTCAGAAATGGGATCATTTGGCTTTATTTTGTACTGCTGAATATCTATGCATAGTTGATTTTGAAAAGTGGCTCTGACCCATAAATACCTAGTTTGTGTAACAGTTGAATGGCCGTAATAAGATTAAAATATAGGCTCATTTCATTAGCTATGAGGGACATGAGAGCATATGGAACCTCACATGGAACAATTAATAACAATGGAGGGAAGGGGGAGGTGACAATGTTCACTTATTAGGTCTCTACAGCTCCTTTGGGCTCAACAAATTGC